CCAGAAAGGAAAAGGGACTTGCCCAAGGCACAAGCTGGTTATGGTTAGAGCCAGGTCAGACCCCCAGATCTCCCACTTCCTAGTCCCAAGCTCTTTCTTCCACCCAAGGCTGTGGTCAGCTTTCTAACTTTGTGGCCAGCCAGGCCGGGGTAAGAGGTCAGGCACTCAAGCTGGCAGGTATGTGAGGTCAATGGGAACAGACAGCTGAGTCCAATCCAGCCAAGGCCATTACCAAGGGCTCAGACTGGTTACTTGTGCTTCGACTAGAAGGAAATAGTCCACAGAGAGAAAAAGTTCAGTAAGAGGGAGGGATGGCCCCCAACCCTCTGCATCTCCCTGGAAGACAGAGCTTTAGCCAGTTTCTGAGGCCCTTGGTGATACTGGGAGGAAAATAGAAGAACTAAGGCCCCGGGGCTCCCATCCCACCTAATTTTTCCTGCTGTCTCAAAATATTCAAAATTAATATTTATGTCCAGCCACATAATTTTTAAATCTAGCCACTTGGCTTCCTCAGGTAAATTCTATGCTCCAGCCAGGTTTCTAGGCCATCTCTTAGCTGGGTTGCTCCCAAGCAGGGGCTGCTGGGCTCTGGTTGAATGAACAGGTCAACCTTGGTTATACTGAGCCATAGGGCAGAGGACAGAGCATTGAGTTTGGAATGGAATATCCCAGGTTATAGTCCTGGCTCTTCCATTCACTAGCTGTGTGATCTTGAGCAGGTCACTCTCCCTCTCTGGGCCTCTAACACCTCATCTGTACAATATAAGGACCGGGCCATATGGTCAGTAAGGACCTTTCTGGCTCTGAGCATATGGTGGATTCAGGAAGGGTAGCTGGGAGAAGAGGGGACAGGAACAGCCCCAGTCAGCTCTCTGAGAGGCAGGGGTCTAGAGTCTCAGGGTCAGGGCATGAGTTCTGGCTGGTCGGTCCATCACGTTATTATGAGGGAGGATCCTCAGAGAATCAGCCCCGGAGCGTAGCATCTGTGTATGTCAGCAATACACAAGGACAGATGGAGCCCCTCATCCTGAGATGCACAGGGCTGGACAGGAAGGAGAAAATGGGGACTCCCTTTGCCCCTTCTCCCTGGTAAAAACCAAGCCTGAGCACTGGGCAGGCGGCAGGCCTGCTGGCAGGCAGACAGGCCTTGCCAAACTCCCAGTTACTTCCCAGAAGTTCCAGGGCCCCCTGGGAGTGGCTCCACCCCAGCTGGCGCCCCTCCAAGCTGGGTGCCCACGTCAGCAGGTCCTCCCAGCTCCCTCGCCCTTTCACCCAGTGACAATAGAACGGCGAAGGGGCGGGGGCATGCTGACCCTAGGCCCGATGCTTGCAGAAGCATCTGAATGCCTTGGCATTGCACCCCTGTTGCCATTTCTGCCCCATCCAGCTCAGGGCAGTGGCTGAGGTCGAGGCTCCAAATGGACTGCTCTCTTCCCGGGTCTCAGTTTCCCATCCTGATAGCCTTCCTGGGTGATAAATTGGCTCTGAGGCATCAGAATGAGCGATGAGTCAGAAAGTCTAGTGGCCTTGGCCAACTCACGAGGCTTCTCCAGCTTTCATTATTCCAACTATAAAGTGGAGATAGTCATAATAATGACCTTGTAGGAAGTTTTTGAGAATTAAAGTTAAAAATGTATCTGAAGGATAAGATCTGCGGCCTCAGCGTGTGGTAGGAAGTGAGGGTGGGCCCTGGAGGGAACCAGACCCCATAGGTGGGGCAACACTGGACAGGACAGTGGCCGTGGCAGAGCGGCCACTGTCTGGGCAGCCCACAGCGGGTAGTGAGGCTGCCAGGCCGGCAGGCACTGGGTTTTCCTAAAGGATGGTGGACCGGGGGGCAGTTACAGCTTATGAACAGACACAGGTGAGGTGCAATGGTGGAGAGAGGGGTTCCTTTTCCCTGACGCTGGGATGTAGCTGCCTGACCCCATCAAGGGCTGCCTGCCACTCAGGACTGCACTTTCAGGCCGACTTTCCCCTGTGAGTCCCCTCACTGCTCCTTCTGTCGTGAACTCCACAGGTTCCAAAGTACTTTTACATCCAGTCTCTCCTTTACTCCTTTTATTTTTGGCTGCGCCATGCGGCTTGCGAGATCTTAGTTCCCTGACCAGGTATCAAACCTGGGGCCCTGGCAGTGGAAGTGTGTAGTCCTAACCACTGGACTGCCAGGGAATTCCCTCTCCTTTACTTCTGACAGCAGCTCTGGCAGTGGTGGCCAGGGTGGGGATTAACAGCGGTAGCTCAACCCCCCAGAGTGCAGAGCAGACAAGAGAGGTCCAAAGAGGGGAACGGATTTGCCCAATGTCACACAGCCAGCCTGTGGTCAAGCCAGGGCTGGTCCATGCCTCCCTATCCCTGTTCAGCCGTGGCCACAGTGCTGTGCCCTCCCCCGCATCCTATGCTGCGCCAGCCTGGGGGACAGGGAAGGGCAGGATGATGAGCTGCTCTGACTCGGAGCCTGCCCAGCTGTCGAGGTGAGCTGTGGTCTGGCTGCTGTGGCCGAGCTGGCGGGCACAATCTGTTCTCACCCTGCTGGGGTGCAGACGGGCCAGGCATGGCAGCTCAAGAGCTCAGCTATCCAGGCCCCTGGCAAAGGGTGACACAGTCACCAGCTAGATGCCACGGTCAGGGAGCAGGGGAGCCCATTCTAAGGGCGGCCCACAGCCTCACACACCCCAGCAGCAGTCCCCCGACCTCCCTGAGCTTTAAGATTCACATGGCTTTAGGCTGACAGAGAGGAGAGACCCTACATTGGGGCCAGGCATAGGCAAGTTTACTAGAAAAGAGCTGTCTGCCAGCCCAGGTGATCTCTTGGAAATGTGAGGGAAACCTGGCACTTCGTTGTGAGCTGTTACTGAGCGCTTGATATGTACCAGACTCCGTGCTAAGTGTTATACACATTATCTCACTTATTTCTCCCTAAAAGTCCTGTGATACAGGTGCTACTTATTAGCCCCTATTTACAGATGTGGAAACTAAGGCTCAGAGAGGTTTTCTTTTTTAGAAAACACACAGTCCATGGCAGAGTCAGGATTTTAATTCAGATCCCATACCAAAGCAGATGGTATCCTGCCTTGCCATCAATTCATCAAACATATTTTGGGCATAGCCCATGGTCATGACTGGCAGTGGGTGGGGGTAGGGAGGAACATGACAAAGTCCAGCAGTGCCCACCCCCACCCACCCCAAGCTAGTATTTAGCTGTACATATGTATTTACATATGTGAGTGACAGAGTAGGGGATGGTGGTAGTACTGGCCCTGGACTTCAAAGCTGAACATTCTCAGTGCCACTCAAAGCAGGGATCACTTCCAGCTGTGAGCAACCCAGGATGGCTGCAGAGAAGCAGCAGCATTTTTAAGTTTTTTGTTTTTTTAAATTTTTTTAAATTTATTTTACTTTTGGCTGCATTGGGTCTTTGTTGCTGGGCGCAGGCTTTCTCTAGTTGCGGCGAGCAGGGGCTACTCTTCGTTGCAGTGCTCGGGCTTCTCATTGTGGTGGCTTCTGTTGTTGCGGAGCATGGGCTCTAGGTGCTTGGGCTTCAGTAGTTGTGGCATGCAGGCTCAGTAGTGTGGCTCGTGGGCTCTAGAGCGCAGGCTCAGTAGTGGTGGCACACAGGCTTAGCTGCTCCGCGGCATGTGGTATCTTCCTGGAACAGGGCTCAAACCCGTGTCCCCTGCATTGGCAGGCAGATTCTTAACCACTGTGCCACCAGGGAAGCACTCGGTTAAGTTTTGATAAGGTTTAAAAAGGTGGGAAAAATGGAAAGCATTACTTTATTATAATAATCCTGTTAATAAAAGTAATAAATATCTTAATAGCTCAGTGAAGGAAGCAGGGCCAGGACCAGCAGCAATTTTACAAATGAGGAAACATGCTCAGAGAGGGAGAGTAATTTGCCCAAGGTCACACAGCCACTAGTGACAGGGCCAGAACTTGTGCCTAGGGCTTCTGAGTTCCCATCTAGTGTCCTTCCCTCTCTAGGTCTCCAGGCATAACTCTTGACTTAGGCCATGGGATGGTTGGCTCAGAGGGAGGCTTTGCCTCTGCCTGGCTCCTGGCTGGGTGAGGGCTGAGGGGCATGGTAGGGCGTGATAGGGTTGAGACTGTCTGACTGGTGATAGTAACACCTGGAAGGACAACCAGGACCCTTGCTTTGACAAAGGCAATGCCGCATCCCCATGAGGAGAGACCCTACATTGGGGCCAGGCATAGAGGATGATCCCAGGGCCCCACAGAGGGTTTGATGAGGACTCTGGAACACTAATTCATGGGGGGAGGGCACTGTCTCCTTTCTCCTCCTCTGACACGGGTGGGCCAGCTGCCTCTGGGAGCCTGGTGGGCCCCAGGGGCGAACTATCCCCATAAGCTTTGGCTGGAAGCAAGGAAATCATCAAGGACCCCCCAGGGTCCCTCCCTTCACACTGAATCACAGGATGCAGGACTCATTCAGTCCAACCTCCACCCCTCAGAGTCAAGGAAACCGAGGCCCAGAGACGACAAGGAACAAGTCCAAAGCCCACAGACACTAAACTAGAATCCAGGTATCCCAACTGACTTGCCAGTACTGTTTCATGCTATCCACGCTGCCTCTAGACTAAGTTCCCAACAGCAGCACGAGTCAGCTCCTATTCTGGGTAGAGAAAATGGTCGGGTCTTTGAAGCCAAACAGACTCTAATTCAAACGCAGGTTGCTCTGCCTCCAAACAGTGTGACCCCAGAAAAGTCACTTAACCCTCCCTGCTTCCTCTTTCCTTCCTACCTACCCCCTGGAGTGGTCATGATAGTAAGTGAGAAATCATCAGCCAGGAACTAGCACAGTGCCTAGGGACAAGGATGCACCCATAACTGTGAGTCGTCCTCTCTTCGGCCAAAGGAAAATGAGGCCAGACTCTGCGAGGCTGGGGAAGGAGAGGGGAGAGTAGGGGGAAGGGAGGCAGGTTTCTGGAAGGGCAGTCCCGTAGCACGTGTTTTCTCTCCTCTTCCCCTTTTTCCCCCAGGCTACGGCCACGCAGCGCCCAGCACCGACGGCGGCAAGGTGTTCTGCATGTTCTACGCGCTGCTGGGCATCCCGCTCACGCTGGTCATGTTCCAGAGCCTGGGCGAGCGCATCAACACCTTCGTCAAGTACCTGCTGCACCGCGCCAAGAGGGGGCTGGGCATGCGGCGCGCGGACGTGTCCATGGCCAACATGGTGCTCATCGGCTTCTTCTCGTGCATTAGCACGCTGTGCATCGGCGCCGCCGCCTTCTCCTACTACGAGCACTGGACCTTCTTCCAGGCCTATTACTATTGCTTCATCACGCTCACCACTATCGGCTTCGGCGACTACGTGGCGCTGCAGAAGGACCAGGCGCTGCAGACGCAGCCGCAGTACGTGGCCTTCAGCTTCGTCTACATCCTCACGGGCCTCACCGTCATCGGCGCCTTCCTCAACCTCGTGGTGCTGCGCTTCATGACCATGAACGCCGAGGACGAGAAGCGCGACGCCGAGCACCGCGCGCTGCTCACGCGCAACGGGCAGGCGGGCGGCGGCGCGGGCGGCGCGGGCGGCGCGGGCGGCAGCGCGCACACCACGGACACCGCCTCGTCCACGGCTGCGGCAGGCGGCGGCGGCGGCGGCGGCTTCCGCAACGTCTACGCCGAGGTGCTGCACTTCCAGTCCATGTGCTCGTGCCTCTGGTACAAGAGCCGCGAGAAGCTGCAGTACTCCATCCCCATGATCATCCCGCGGGACCTCTCCACGTCCGACACGTGCGTCGAGCAGAGCCACTCGTCGCCGGGAGGCGGCGGCCGCTACAGCGACACGCCCTCGCACCGCTGCCTCTGCAGCGGGGCGCAGCGCTCAGCCATCAGCTCCGTGTCTACGGGCCTGCACAGCCTGTCCACCTTCCGCAGCCTCATGAAGCGCAGGAGCTCTGTGTGAACGCCTTGCGGGGCCTGGAGCACCTGGGAGCACGGGCGGGGCGGGGGGCTCCTGCCCGGAGGAGCAGCGGGGTCGGCGAAGAGACCGCCCCAGCCGCCTTTGGCGCCCCTACACCCCTCACCACCCTCCCCCCGCCCCCCATCTCCGACTGTGCCTGCTTGCATCAGCCGGCAGGAGCCGGGGCTCTGAGGACCCCTGGAGCCCGCATCTGCGCCCTGCAAATTCCGAGAAATGTGAAACTTGTGGGGGGGGGGGTCGGGGAGGGAAGGCAGAAGCTGGGAGCCTCCCATCCCTTTGGAAAAATAAGGAGCTCCTCAGTTCGCAGAGGCCCTGCTGGTAACCAGACCATCACCCCTCCCCCTGTCCCTTACGGAGGGAACTTCGTGTTCCGTGTAAGTTTGCATCTCTATTTATACCTCTGTCCTGCCAGGTCTCCCACGTTCCCTTGGCTCCAAAAGTCAGGGTGTCTTTGTCGAGGTCACCCCACTCAGTCCCACTCCCCTTCCTCATCCCCAGCTGTGTCTCCCAGTCTCCCACTACCTTTTGTGTTGTTTTGCATGGCTTTGCAGTTATGGAGGAAATGGAAACCCAGCAGTCCCTAAAGCTAGTCCCCAGAGGGCAGGCAGATGGAAGCAAGGACAGGCAGGCTGCAGAAGGGGTGGAGAAGGGAAGGGGGAGGCAGGGGCCCAACAGTCTGCAGGGTGGTCCCCTTGGTAGGTGAGAGCTAACTGGCCTCCAGTCACATCCTCATGTGGGGCCAGAGGGAGTCCAGCCTTCCAGACACTGCCCTTGAAATCAAACAGAAAACTTGCTCCTTGCCATCACTGGCCGCTGCTGCTAATAACCAACTCTTAGATCCGTGAAATGAGTGTGAAAACCCTGTCCTGACTACCCATTCGTTTGATTCTCACCACACCCCAGTTAGGTCACCAGGGCAGGAGTTGTCATCCCAAATTTACAGGTGACACTGAGACCCAGACAGGTGACGTGACTTGCCCAAGGTGACACAGCAAAAGGCAGAGGGGAGCAAGAACCCAGGCTGTTTGTTCTGAGCCTAAGTGCTCTTTTTTTCGACTCCTCTTCCCACTCTTTGAAAGCAAAGTTCCCAGCCTGCACACCCTGGCATTGTGTGGGCAACTGGGCCTTAGACCAGAACCAGAGCCCAGGACTGAGCCAGTGCTAGACTCAGCTGCTCTACTGCTTGGCCACGAGGCAGGGCTCTGAGCGGGCTGCTGAAGCAGGGTAGGACCACTCAGTCAATGAACTTCCTACTTACAAACAGGGGAGTCCTTAGGGCCAGATAAGCAGAGCTGGGACTGACAGCAGAAAGGCCAGGAGCTAGAGCTCTAGGAGTTGGGGAATTGGGCAGAGCAGCCTAGAGGGCTGGCAGGCATATCCTCCTTGGGACGTGAACCCTGACCCCACAACCAGTGTTGGTGCCTGTGTCCCAAGTAGCTAGAGATAAGCCATAGCTGCAGCAAGGAATGCTCCTCCCAGGTGTACCCCCTGCCTACCCCACCTGCAACCCAGAAGCCCAGGTACAGAGCAGCAGTTGGAGGTGAGACCCTAGGCTCCACGGTCAGGGCCCAGAGCTAGAGCTGGGACCGTGACTCAGACAGTATCAAGGATGGGTGAGGGGCCTCTCCCCCTCCAGCTGCACCCTCTTACTGTTCCCGTGTCAGCTCCTTAACGCTGCTGAGCAAGGCCAGCCCTGGCATTCAGGGAAGGTGTAGTGGAGGACCCCAGGGTGATCAGCCTTAGCTCCACCCTGACCCTGCGCTCCGGCCTCTGGGCACCACTGGGAGGGAAGTCTGGCCTGGCCTGTGTGTGAGTGCCGTCTCAGTGTGGAGCATCTGGCTGCCCAGGTGCCACAGAGAGCAGGGCCCAGGACCTGGGGCTGCCCTCTATGTTTATGTTGGGGTGCCTCTGTCCGGTGTGAGACCCTGCCCTCGAGGGGTCCTGTCCCGTCAGTCCCAAGGGAGCCACGACCAAAGTTGTAGGGAGATGGTGGGGAAGGAGGCCGAATGGCCCTCGCGGAGCACGGCAGACTGCTCAGTCTCCGGCCAGGTCTTTCCTAGGGAACTGGAAGGCCGGTGTTGCTTCTCCCTCACCCCCTCCCACTGAAGGCAGCCTTTCTGCTTCCCCAATGCCTTATGCCTGGGCACACTGCCACAGAATATGCAATACGTGTGGGTGACATGCCCCCGCGCCCACACCCTCACCCCGGGCAGCCCCTGGACCCCACAGGCCGCAGCTGCCACGGCCTCCCTTCTTCAGCCCCTCCTGCCTATCTGTCTTCACACTGAGAATGGCGCCTAATAAATGCTGTCCATGGAGACCAGGGTCAGGCTCAGCCGCCTCTGTCATCGTGTACCCTTGGCACTGCCAGGGAGTGGCCACTCCCCCTCTGGGGTCTGAGGACACACCCAGCAGACGCAGCTCAGGGATGAGATACATCGCGGGCACCTCTCTTCCAGGTACATTTTCCTCTGGGTGTGGAGGGACAACTCAGCCTGGGACTGGGCCCCAGGGCCCAGGATAGACCCGGAAGCAGATGCATCCTGAAGTGATGCCAGCGCCTGGAATCAGCTAGCCAGTGGCTTCCAGATGTCACTGAGTACAATCCACAGTGGCCTTTGACACCACAACCCATGCCTATCTCCCTGTCTGTCTTTCTTTCATGAAACAATACTTAACCCCTACTACAGCCAATGCATTCCAATACTTTCTATTCTAGTTCATGTTATAAAATGCTGGTCACAACCCACTAAATTGATTTCTCTCCCCATTAATGGTTTGCTCCCTGCAGATTGAAATACACTAGAGAAATAAAGGCAGTGTGGGTAAGGCTGCTTTATCCCAGTCCTCCCACCCACCCACATAGGTCAGTTGAAAAATACAGAGAGAAACCTATTTACTGGGGATCCAGGGGTCGAAGAAAGAAGTGGTGGCACCTGCAGGAGGCAGGACACAGCCAAGCCTTGTGTGACGGCCCTCCTGGCTGCTCCTTGGAGCTGCAGGCAGGCCCCTGGGACACACTGCTTGGCCTTCGGCCCTTGGGGTGGCCACGGCACAACCGGCCCTGAGCTCCCATTGGCTCACCGCACCTAAGACCACCTCATCAAAAGCCAGGGCTTCCTGCCCACGGCCTATCTGCCTCTGTCTTTCTTAGAAGAGCTAAGTTAAACAATGTCATTTTTGAGGTCAGCAGTGACCAGTCCAATATCGCTTTGACTTTCCTAAGCAGTTCCTACAGGACATAAACTTGCTGACATTTGCCCTCCTTTCTTCATTGCCTAGGGTGAAATAATCAGAATTCGAAGGAATTCCCCAAGGGGCTGCAGTCATCCCAGTCTTCCGAGGGGTGATCAGAATCGTGGCTGCAGTGACCTGCACCCCAGCCCCTGCCCACAGCTCCTAATGGCTCAGAATTGCCCTCGGTCCTACCGTGGGCTCTTTATCTCCAGGTGATGCCATCCCCGCCCTCCTCACTTCCACACAGCCTCTGAGGCATCCTGCACTAAAAAAATATATGTACAGCAAAACAAAAATAGAAAACCAGCACCCCAGAGCGGGGTGGGGTATAAATATACCAAGACTCTGACTGATGTGGTTCCTCTGTGCCAGCCTCAAATGGAAACAGAAGCTTCCTGGGAGCTGAGAGAGAAAAAGGTCTGCAATGGAACTCCTCCCAAAATGTGTCCCATGGTTTACCTTGTGGCGAAAAGAGTTCCCTGGTCAGATGAATCTGGGGCAACACTGCACACATCGCTCAAGTGTGGAGCTTCCCGAGACATCTTAGCCCAGTGAAGGTTCTGAAAAGCCCAGCAGCAGACACAGCTGTTCATCTGTGCTTAAACTCACAGCATTGCCCAAAATCACTCCCAGCACCAGCCCTTCTGTTTGCACGACGTCTCCTCACACCCCAGGTCCCACAGAGCACGCTTTGGGAAATGCTGATCTAGGGAAACCTGTCTGATGAAGAGAGAAGTTTGATCCTACCCCCTCAATAAATTCCAAAAGGAGCTTAGCTTAGCTAAGTCCTTCCTGAAGGCCGTGACATTATGAAATACATATTTTATTCCCTATTACACGTCAGCTCAAACCAAGGCTCGGAGTAGCTCACTTGCCAAGATCAGGCGGTGGGCTGGTGGCAGAGTTGGGATTTGAGCCCAGGCCCGATGGCTCCGAGGTGTAAGCTCTCAGCCACCTTGCTGCGTCCTGTCCCCAGGTGGTCCACGTCTTCAGCAAAAGTTTGGTGGAAGTCGCACAGCTGTTTAGGACGTGTCATTTCTTATTCAGAATCTTGGTGAGTGGGGAGCCTATAACCTAAAAATGTCTCCCTTCAAAGATGACAGATCCTGATGCAGCCAAGAAATTCTGTTCCATCTTAAGTCCTCTCACTCCCATAGATAAGACCATTTAGCTCTTTCTTTCTTTTAGCTTCACTACAACTTATCTCAGGAAGCCAGGGGCAGGGAAGGGATGTCTAGGGCCAGGGAAGAACTTCAGAACAGACACACTGTCAGAGGAAAAAAGCAACAGCCCCACCTCAGGGCACACCTCGCCGTCTGCACTGAGTAGCATGAAGCTTAAGCCCCCCTGTCACTCCCGAAGCTGGGTTCAGCCTAGAAGGCTGAGACTTCATTTCCCTAAGGGGCCTTTGAACAGCCCAGTCTGTAGTGGACACAGTCCCCTCCTCTTGCCCAATGATGCTGGAACAACAGCCCCAGGCACTGCCGCCACCTTGGTCAAAGTTTGCAAAGCATCACACACACACACACTCCTCTAGATTTCTGGTCCAGCTCCTCTTTCTCAGAGGAAGGGATTTTGGTTCAGAGAGAGGAAGTGAGATGCTCAAGGCCAAGAGGCAAGATAGCAGTGTAGCCAGGATTGGTATCTGATAGCTTCACTTTCCACACTCCCTCCCCACACACACACACAGAGCAGGGGCCCAGCCTTCTCTGACTCTGATTTCAGATGAAAGCTGCTAATTGCTAATCTCTGAGGTTGAGTCACTCTCACTGTCATGCTGGAAATTTCCCACATCTACATCTGGACACACACCAGGAGACTCACAGCCCCGCCGCTCATTCACCCAGCTGCAGGGGAGGTCCTTGTGGGTAGTGCCACCCTTAGGACTGGGGCTGTGATGGAATTGACTCCATGATCTTCTCTGGCCGTGAACTCCCTGAAAATCCACACTAAGGGCGTTTTCCATTTACAAAGCCCTCTCACTTCATTCTCTCCTTGGTTCGTTGGACAACTCTGTGATTTAGGTGAGGATTAACACTCCCATTTTACAGATGACAGAACTAAAGAAAGACTTAAGGTCCTGAGAGCCGGCATTGTTCCACATTCACTTCCATATTGTTGATGGTTGTGCTGGCTCCCTGTGTGCCCCAGTACCTCTGGGCCCCAAGTGTCCCCCACAGTGTGCCAGGCTGGTTCCCATGGGTTGGGGAGGCCCAGGTGGATGTGACTCACAGAACCTATTAGCAGAAGGAGACGAGGAGTCATGAACATTTTACCCACTTCACCATGAGCCCTGAGCAAACTTTGTCCAGAGCCATGGACTTTGGATTAAGGGCAGCACAATGCCCTTAATAACAACCCCCGCCCTTCAGCTGGAAAGGCCACAGGATCCCTGGGAGAAGGTCGTGACTTTGACCCAGGCCAAGTCCCTAAGTCAGCACTCTTCCTCCCTGAAGAGGGAACACGTGAACAGGTCCTCCCTGGCTACAGAGTATTCTGGTCTGACTACCGGATCAGAGTGGTAGGAATAAGGCCCACAGCCCTGGGCTTGTTCTGGACCCAGCATCAGGGTTTGAGAGGTACTGTCCTTCCAGATTGCACAGGTCCAACCGGGGAGACTGAGGGTGCCGATGGAGCAGGGAGCCTGGCCTGGGCTGTGTTGTACTTTGTCCTCACCTTTGTCGTAAAAACTCTCATTCTGCCCTTATTTCAGGCCACCAAAACTTCTAAGGAAACT